CTGACACCGCAAGCTCAACATTGACTAAGCTCCTGGTACAACTGATGAGAAGCAAAGTAAACATGTGCGGGCACATCCTGAGGCAATCCTCAGATCCCAGAATGTCGTGAGGCACACACACTGGTATGCCTAAGGGTGGCAGAAAAAGGTGCACTCCTCCCTGTGCACCCCTATTGGGCTCTCTGAAGGCGTGGCTCTCACGAAGGTGCAGGGGGCACAGGTTTCCTGTTTTCCATCTCCAGTGCTGACTTCCTCGCCCCTTTCTTTCTGTTTTTCTGTGTCTGGTTCCTCTTCCTTTTCTGGTTTTTTTTCGAACTCGGGTCCTTACGCTTGCGAGGCAGGAGGCCGAACCACTGAGCTAAATCCCCGGCCCTTTTTCTGGTTTCTTAAGAAGCTTTGTCCTCACTTCTGTCTCAATAGTTGTCTTTTGTTTATCTGCCTCTTTCCTCCTGTATCTTTCTTCTTCTTGTCTTTTTTTTCTTCCTCCTGTAAGCATTTCTTTTCTAACTCCCTCCTTCGTTCTTCTCGCTTCTCTTCTTGAATTCTCTGTTTTTCTAATTTTCTGTTTTTAATATAGACCAAAAGAGGTGTGGTTCTTCTAGCAACAAGTTTTCTCATCTTTGCCTCTATCTCTCCCAGAAGTTTCAGGGTTGGCACTGGTTCTCTGTTCTTCCATGCTGTAAGTTTCTAAAAACTTTATACTCTGGATCATCTTCGATGCTCCCCGTCTTGGTGTCTCTCTTCTTCAGCTTCCTCCTGACTATCTTCTGGAATGGGCCCAACTCTACCACTTGGCAGGATACTCCAGGCCTTTACTGCTCATGAAGACATATCCATCAAAACGATCTCTGAACAGAAGGATGTCATCAGGATTCCTAAAATTAATGTATGCTCTTCAGTAGAGATGAGGATAAAGGTTGCGGGCCACACTGGCCACCTTGAAGTAGTTGTGAGTGGGCAGCGGGCGCAGCTGCTCTTTCGTGAGGCCGGGGGCGGGGGGGGGTGGTGAGCAGCCACCGTAGGACCATCTGGGGCAAAACCGGCTAGTCACCCAGCCCACCACCGCTCCAGCGCCCTGGCAGCCTGCAACTGCTCCCACCCCGCCAGGCCCTGCCAGGCCCTGCCAGGCCCCGCCCAGCCCGCCTTCTTGCCAGTGGGCACTTCTTTAGCAAGAAGTTTGCTCTTCATTACAACGGGAAGGTCAGTTTTTGAGCAGTGCCCTTAGGAACAGGAAGGAGTAATGTCCTTCCATAGATGAATATCTAACCAGCTCTGGTAGGGATAGACAGGGCTGCATTAGAGCCCAAGAACCGGATTCTTGTCCCTCCTTTGCAACCAGATAGCCGTGAGCTCTTAGTTACATCTCGTTCACTGCCCCAGGCCTCGGTTTTCCCATCTGTGAAACAGGCAGGTTGAACTACATACATCTGTGCTTTTCACACATAAGTGAACACTTTCAGAAAGCAAATATGCAGGCCAGCAGAGGCACGTGAGCCCTGTGCCCAGGAGGCTCTCCACGCCCAAGCCGGGGCTGCTCTGAGGACAGACCGGGTCAAAGTGACTGGCTGGAGGACCCTGCAATCCCTTCAACAAGGAGAATGCATGTTTCTTATCTGGCTGATGCTTGGTTTATTCTACATCTTGGGAAGTGTGAAGCTCAGAGAAAGGTCCATTTAGGGCAGCTGGTGTTCCAGAAAACAGCTTACAGGATGCCCAGCCTGAAATGCAAAGATGTGGGCAGCCCAGTCGCCACAGGAACTGCCAAGCCTTCCACAGCCATGTTGGCTTTGCTGGCTGAAGACGGCCTTGTTGCCGGTGACGGTTTTCTATGCCTGTGGAAGAAGCCACCATTTTCCTTTCTTCCTCATTCATTCCGTAACTCACAAACATTATTAATCACCCATGTCTAGACTACCAACAGTCTGGGTGGAAGACTGACATAAATATGTAAGTCAACAGCCATGCAGTCAGTGGTCATGGGGGCTAAGTGGAGATGCCAGAGAGGACAGGCCAGAGTGAGAGGCACTGAGAAGGGGCTGCCTGGAGAGAGGCACAGCAAGCAAGATCCTGGGGCACTGCTGGTACAAGAGTGGGAGGGAGAGAGGAAGCAGTAAGTGCAGTCCTGGCTGCTGTGGCCCTGGGGGAAGCACAGCAGGAAGCCAGCTGGGAGGACAAAGCCAATCCCGAGGAAGGAAGAAGCTAGGAGAGGAGTCCGGGAAAAGGAAAGCAGAGAGAGGAGCGGAAGGCGGAAGGTGCAGCAGTACACAGGTACGGGGCTTTGAGTCCGAGGGCTCAGGGGCACCATGTGGTGGCTGAGACTCTGGGGCATTTCTCAGACCCAGACACCTTATCTGTGACTTGGGATTCCAAGGCTTCGGTTGTTGTCAGGAACAGATGAGGTAGTGCATAAGTCTGGCACTGGAATGGGCCCCTCCACGGTGGGTGCTAAAAAGGGTGAAGGGACAGGGATGAAATTTAAGTGGAAAGTGAAACAGTAGCCCAGTTGTTTACTGTTTAACAGTTTGCAAAAACACTTTCAGCCACAGACAGGGGAGCCCAAACGCGTACTTCTGTGCCTGCATTTAACCCCGACTCCCTCTCCCGTGAACCGGCCTAAATAATGTCATCAGTGGTCACAGTTGCAAGCTTAAACATTTACCTTTAATGTCCACTCTTGCCAGGCACTGTCCTATGCACTTTACATCTACTAGCTCATCTGATAGTCACAGGCCGTCAGTACTTTTGTGATTTCATTTCACAGAGGAGGGAAGCAAGAACAGAGAGGTGGAGTGCCTGAGTTAAGGTCACACAGCTGGTATGTGGCAGGGACAGGATCAGAGGCCATTTCCAGGCTTTCTCTCTGCAAAAGAGCAGGGCTGTGGGCCAAGGAAGGCACACAGCATACAGCTGGCTGGAAAGACACACAAGACAACACAACATCACCTACACAAACAAGTACCCTAACTCCACCCCTGACAGGTGAGGGGCAGGAAAAGCCAAGGTGCCATGAGAGTAAGTGCACGTGAACGGCCAGGGAGGACTTCACAGACTTGGGGGGAACCGAGCTAAATGCGTGTGCATCACATGCACACACAGAGGCCTGGCGCTAAGGTGAGTGAGAGTGTCACAGTACAAAAGGGCGTGGGCAGGTGAGCACCTGGGGAAGCTGCCGCGGGCATCCTGCTGGATACTTAGCCAGCCATGCAGGGTAGGCGGGGAGAGGGCCACACCAGAGCCTGAGTGCAGGCTCACTGCTCCCCCTCTGGACCCGGCCAGCTGCGTGCTCTTAGCTACAGTTTGTCCACCATCCCAGGCCTCCGGCTCCTGCTGGACAGCACCCAGCGGCCCTCTGGCCACCACTTATCAGTGCCTCGGGGAGGAGGTGAGCAGAGGATAGGGCAGTGCTCCATCCATTCTGTGGCATCTGACGAAAGCTTCCGGGCAGGAGTGAGCCGGAAGCCACCGGCTGAATGGCAGGTTTTTTCCCTCTCAGGTTTCATCTTGGCCTCATCTCTGTGTCCCTTAAACTCCAGATGGACTCTGTGTGTGGTTGAGGTCACATGGTTGGGGCCAGAGAGACAGGCTCAGTCACCTTGTCTCCTCTGAAGACCTACGTGACCCTGGGTAGGTCCCTCAACCTCTCTGGGTCCGTTTCCTCATCTGTGACATGAGGTGGCAAACACTGTAAGCGGGCTTATTTGATACCTCTGTCTCGTGTCTCCTTCTCCTGCCCCTAGTAGAGAGACTGAACACAAAACATTCACATTCTTAGCCACCCTCACAGACACGCTGAGCAGATGTCAGACTTTGGGCCGGAAGTCTCAGGGGGACTGAAAAGAAGGCAAAGTTTGACTGGAGAGAGCTGGGTATCCCTTGCCCTCCCTCCTTGTTGGCTGAAAGGCAAACTTTCCAGAGGTTCAGCAGTCATTTTCTGACCATAGGCATGAAGAAGCAGATAGAGAAAAGGCTTAGTTCTTTTGTAACAGCCTCAAACAGCCAGTTATACCAGTCTTGGATCTCGTTATGTGGCGGATAGAAAGATAGACAGATAGACAGTGTGGATTAACTAATGAGTGACTTGGAACACCCAGCTGAACTGAATCAGTGTGGTTAGGCATGGAAGACCCACCTGAGGATTGTTGCCAAGGCATAAAAAGAGAACTGGAGGGCAAGATTGTGGGCTGTTGATTTTCTAGGAGAAGCTTGGTGTGGTTGGTTTTCGTCATGTGAACTTGGCTGTTCTCTCATTGGAGGAGAAGCTCGGGCCCTCACTGTCTCCGGGAATGGCTGCTGTTCTCATCAGGGGAGCTCTGATTTTCACCGTAAGCATCACTTCCGTGCTCCAGTCCCTCAGCCTGGTGGTGCAAATCCTTCACCCCACCAGCACAGGTTTTCTGGCTTCCACCACTGGCCTTTGGGCCTTCCGGGTGCAGATCCTCAATACGGACAAGCATGAGACATTGCCGTGGGCTCTAGGCCTCTGGCTGGACTGGAGGAGGACGCTGCCTTGGGCTCTAGGCTTTCAGACTGGACTTGTGTGGGACATTGCTGTGGGATCCAGGCCCTTCACTGGATTCTTTGGGTCTCTAGAGTGCGGTTGGATCTCTTGCACACCTCTGCATTTGACTTTTTGGGTAGATATTATAAAAATAATCCTAAAATTATGTGTCCTGTATTAAATCTATTTCCCTTGCAAACCCTGACTACAACAGATAGATAGCTAGATGAAAGTGAATCTTTTACCTGTTTGATCCATTGTTTATCAAGCTTCTGTTCTTTCCATTTAATGCCTTTCTAAATTGATATAAAGGGGATAAAAATAGGGTCCATTTGATGGTTTCTGTGGGTACTGGGTGAGATCATGTGTGCGCGGCCAGGTCTACAGCCTGGCTTGTGGCAAGCACTGCATGAACAGAGACCCATATGCCAAGGCCACTACACAGGGAAAACATGGCATCCCTGGGGAGTCACAGGATGGAGTGTGGGAGCAGAAGGCCTACCTCGATCGCTGAAGTCGTCGACCAACACGATCTCTGCCACCAGCTCCGGGGGCGAGCGGTTCAGCACGCTGTGGACGGTGCGCAAGAGGGAGGACCAGCCCTCGTTGTGGAAGGGGATGATGATGCTGGTGTTGGGCAGGATCTCTAGGTAGCGTTTGCTGTTGCAGCTGGAGGGAAACACAAATAGGAGAGGACAGGGTCAGGCTAACTGCAAATACCACCTCCTTGCCAGCCTCTGGGACCCTGGTGAGAGCTGGGGGAACCTCGGTCACCAGGGAACTTTCTGCTCCCTGGGACCCCAAATCCTGCCTCCAGTCTCTGCAATGCAGCAAGGAGGGCTCACAAGAAAGCTCCCCGGCTTGCTGTGAGGCCGTGATGAGTCCACGAGCGGCAGAGGGCATCGGTGACACTCTGGCCTGCCTTCCCATTGGAACAAATGTTTCTGTTTTGGCCTTGGTCTCTGGTTCCTGGTGCAGAGCTTATAAAACCCTTGTAATTTTTTGAGCAATAGAGGTGCTAGGAAGATCTTCTGTTTCGGTGTTTGTTTTTTGAGCCTGGTTCCCAACGCAGGGATTCTAACTCCCTTGGAATTTCCTGGTGATAAGAGCATCTTTTGTTCTAATGAGCCCACCCTTGATAAGCTCCAGGAGCAGGCTGGTCACCGGAAAGGAAAGGAAATGAACAAACGAACAAACGGCAGGATTAGAAACTTGGAACTCTCCTGTCCCACCTCCCACCTCCAGCAAAGGGAGAAAGGCAGCTGACTGAGTGGGCACTGAGTGAACTGGTGTGACAGAGCTCCCCGAAACTCCTAAACCAGTGAGTCTGGAGAGCTGCCGGGCTGGTGCCCCATGACGGAGCTGGGGAGGCAGTGCCCAGAGAAGGTACGGGTGTCCCGTGTCCCTTCCCACGTAACTTGCCCTAGGTAGCTCTTCATCTGGCTGTTCTCCTCTGTCCGTGGCAGTGATATCCTCTGCAGTAAACTGGAAAGAGGAAGTATTCCTGGAAGATCCATGAGTAGCTCTAGCAGACTAACCCCAAGGAGCCTGTCACGGGAAGCTGGAATTTACAGCTGGTTGGTCAAAAGCACTGCAGCCTGGATTTGTGATCGCTGCACGAAGCGGGGTAGTCTTGTAGGACTAAGTCTTCAGATGTGGGAGCTGACTCTTACTCTCTGTCGGGAGTGTCAGAATGGGTTTGAATTACAGGATATGCAGCTAGTGTCAGAGAATCGCTTGATGGTGGGGGAAAAAGCCCACATACTTGGTCACAGAAATACTCTGTATCAAGATCGGGAGTAACAGAAGAAAACCGTTTTTTTCTATTATACATCACTTCTTACACATTTGTCTCCAGTGGAGGAAAAGTGATTCATCCATGTGTTTGGAAGAATAAAGTAGGCTTCACTGGCTTAGCCTCTCCTCTCTCCCTGCTGGGCTCTGCTCCCCACGAGCCACATGGGATGGAGTGGAAGGCCCTGCCTCTGTGGGCACTCAACATCCTAAAACACTCAAAGAAATGAACATCATTCTTTAATATCACCAAACATCTAGTTCATATTCAAATTTCCTTGATCTTACGTCTTTTTATAGTTGGTTTGTTTAAATCAGAATAAAGTGCACATAGTGCATTTAGTTGATATGTCTCTTAAGTCTCTTATATATAAGTTGCCCACTCTTTCCTTAGAAGTTGTTAGCTGAAGAAACTGGGCCATGTGTCCTACAGGGTCTCCCGCAGTCTGTACTTTGCTGCTTGCATCTTTTTTTGTTGATGTCATTTTAACATAATCTCTGGACCCCTAGCTGTGAACTAGTAGTTAGGTCTAGAGGCCTGAGCTAATTCAATAAGATGTTGTGGCAATGTCTTTACTGTGGGCAGTGTGTGCACTGCTTAGCAGACATGGAGGGTCCACTGTGGATCCCTCAGGATAGTCTATGTACATGTACAGATAGACATACTTATATATAGCGTGTCATCAGACATAAACTGTCATCTACAGATAGAATTTTCCTTCTTTCCTTCTAATCTAAATACCTTGTATTTCTTTTTTCTGGTCTAGTTATCTCAGAGAGTCCAGTCCAGTGCTGTACAGAAGGGGCAAGAGCAGATATCTTTGTCTTATTTCTGATCTTATAGGAAAAAATTTATTCTTTCACTACTATGAATAATGTTTGTGTGGGTTTTTGTCAGATTGAGAATCTTTCTTATATTCCTAGTTTGTTGAGTGTTTTATCCTGAAACACTGGATTTTATCGAATGCTTTTTTTTTTTTTTTTTTGCATCTGGCAAGACAAGGAGTTTTGGTCTTTTATTCTATTAATATGTTATATGACACTGATTGCTTTTCATATGTTGAACAAACTTTGCACTCCTGGGATAGCCTATTTGGCCATGGTATATAAAGTTTCTTATATATTGCTGCATTTATTTGGTTTGCTAGTATTTTGTTGCAGATTTTTGCACTTATATTCATTAGGTATATTGATCTATGTAATTTTATTGCAATGTTTTTATCTGGTTTAATATATTATATTTACTTTGCTAAAAGTCTAGGTTACTTATTTGCCTCTTCCTACAATATGTAATAATTTCATGGAAGCAATGCCAATATCACTGGTACAATATTATTACAGATTTTTAAAAATCTGCATGGTAAATTTTATGATGGATGTACAGTCAAATTTTATGTTTTGAAGCTACTTGAATAATTCTTCTCTACATGGTTCTTAATACACAGTTGGTCATTTATTTCATCTACCTTTTCATTTTCAGGGTTTCGGTTTTACTGTTTGATTCAGATATAATCTCGCTGTTATAATTATATAAAGTATTTATGTGGTTCCAAAGTCAAATCTACAAAAGAGATGATTCAAAGATTTCTGGCTTTTACCTACAACTCCATCTAGTTTCCCCCCTTCCTTTCAGAACACATTTTATTTTGTGGTTAATCCTTACATTGTTTTCCTTACTTCTTTAGTAGAAGTAACTACATGTATAAATTGTTAGCCCCTTCATCTTTTCTTGAATACATGGTAGCAGGCTATGCACTTTTCTTCACCTTATCTTTTCAACTTAGCAATAAATCCTAGAAATTGTGCCATAAAAGGACCTTTTTTTTTTTTTTTTGCTTTTTTATTTCTTAAAGCAGGTAAGTTCAATTCAGGGAACAATAAGCAAGTCAATTTGGTCACACCAAGACTACTTTACACAGAGAAAGCTTCTTTATTCACTTTATAGTAAGCCTTCTCATTTAGCTTCAGGAGGGAAGTAGGAAGCAACTTCCGGAGCTCTAAACCAGGGACTGTGGAGGCAGCCTGCGTGGGCCGGGGCTGCACGTGACCGGGACGCTGGTGGGAGGCGAGTCTCTGGCTGAGCGGACAGTGTGAATCCATCTCTCAGGGCGGGCCCGCCGCTCGCACCTCGCACTTTAACAAGCCTCTGGGTGACGCTGGTGCCTGCTCGGGCTGGAGAATCACTGTCCTCCAATACCCACATTGCCAAATGGAAGAACAGGTTCCCTGGGGCCAGCACGCGAGGTGAGAAACAGTGTGCAGCTGGTTTTCTGGGAAGTGTTCCGGGCAGATGCATCTGTAGGCAAGTGAGCCAGGCAGGTAAGGGAGACGAAGCCCACCCCGGTGTGGCTGCATGGAGATCTCAGTTCACTTTATCAGGCGTTCTGGACCTGAGATCGCCTTTCCAAGTTGTCCTAGATTGAGACAAAGGCCTGGCCTTTCTATCCAAGCATCGTGAGCAAGGCAGCTCCCTGCTGCCAAGGGCAATTCCCAGAGAGAAAATAGGCTGGGAGGTGCCCCTGCTCCCAAATCCTCAGTAGCCTGGGGATAGGGGAATCGGAGAGAGGCAGTGGGCAGAGTGCTTTCCTATTCACTACAACACGGACAGCGAGCCCACACTACACAGAAGGCAGTATGAAGTCCCTATTTCACACCTGACAAACCTGAAGCAGAGAGGTTACACAAACTCATCCAAAGTCACACAAATAAAGATGGGTAGGATCTGACCTGAGAACCTGCATTCACAACTCCCACGAATTGTGTTCGCATCCAACTTTCACAAGAGCCCTGACGACAGACGAGGCAGGGTTTGCCAGCCCCATTGGAGAGAGGGCATTGGGATCCTAGGCAGGGAGGCGGCCTGCCAGGAGAAGGGAGAGTCCCACCGGTGCAGCACGCTACAGGGACACGGCTGGGGCTTAGCCATCTCAGAGGACAGCAGCAGCGCTGTGACCACCACAGCTGGTTTCTAGTCAATATGATCTTAGGCGATGCTCAACACAATCCCGCAGGGAAGAACGGAAGCTGAGGGAAGCACGGAAGCTGAGGGAAGCTCTGAAGATGAAGAACTAGGTGTGAGGGGCACTGAACAGTGGTGATCAGAGGTGGCCTGGGGACGCTTGTCTCCTCCCTATGCCTCTTCCCCCACGCATCACCTGATTGGCTGGCTGGTTTCTTCTCCCACCTCCATATCCTAGCTTAAATATCAACTGCTCGGAGAATTCTTCTCCAATTGCTGCTTCCTCAGGTGTATGTAAGTCCTTCCTGATTCTCCATCTCAGGGATCAGCCGAAACTATGGCCCAGGGACAAATCTGGCAGACTGTTCTGGTGTGACTCTCAAGCTAAAATAATTTTTATATTTTTAAAGAGCTGTAAAAACGAAACAATACACAGACAAAAGAAGGATATGGAACAGAGACCCTCGATGACCCTTAAAGCCAAAAACGTTTACTCTCTGGTCCTTAATAAAAAAAATTTGTTGGCCTCAATTCCATTTCACAGCACCCCAAGTTTTTCTTCATTTCAAGTAGCACACTTTATATAGTCTATTTAGGTGACTGCTTATCATCTCTCCCCTTAGAAAGTAAGCGCCTAACACAGTGCCAGGTACATAGTCTGTGACCAGGAAATACTTGCTGAATAAGTGGATGAATGCTGCCAGAGTTCAACCACACTCTTTTTACAGCACATCCCAAACTCTTTCCTTTACATGGCCCCCTGTACTGTGGAGGTTGGGCAGCCATTCTCCTGCAGGAAGTGCCTTTGTCCCTGCCCATGCTTGGCAGGGTTCAGGGAGGAGGGGCACCTCAGCACCACTCTGACACAGTGAGCAAGAGTGCTCCCTACTCACTCCATGTGGGTCCTGTGGGAGGA